GGGGCTGGAGAGATGGCTCAGCAGTTAAGAACACTGGTTGTTCTTGCAGAAGACCCAGGTTCAAATCCCAGCACCCACATGGCAACTAACAACCCTCGGTAACTCCAGTCCCAGGGGATCTGACAGCCTCTTCTGACCTCTTCAGGCATTGCACAAAACGGGTGCACTTACTTACCTACATGCGGGCAATACATGCATACACATAAAATAAAAAATAATGAAAAATTTAAAAAAAAGATGACATACATACTTGTACACCCAGGAGGGCCAAATGAACTTGTGTTATTATAAGCCAGTATTTTTACCTTTGCCGTTTTTCTCAAGGATGAGATGTGTTCATTTTTATTTTCTAACAAAAGCCAGTAGGAACACATGCAGGGAGACAAATTACAGCAAAGTGGCTTTATACTGGAAAGATGTGTTTCTTTTCAGTGACTTCTGTTTCTTTAGCACATTCTAAGGTGTTGAGGGGGAGACTAAATGTCAGCAGGCTCGGAGTGGTGCAAGTTCTCCAGACTGCCTTCTAGACCCAGCCTGCTGTGACAGTTACTACAGTCCTCAGTTCCTATTTGCCAGCTGTGGTCCAGAATGCGTGGGCAACAGTAAAGTAAAAGGCTTTGAGCTCCTCTGCTTTCTAAAAGCTGACCAAAGATGGACAGTCTCAAGAACCTGTGGACTACCTGCGTTGAACATCTGTACAGTGCTCTGAGCAGGCCCAGTGGTCAGCCTGGGAGAACACAGTCAACAAAACAAAATTGCCAGTACTTCTCCCCTAAAATACTCCAAAGCCATGCTGCCTGTCACCTGGGTCACGGAACGTGCTTGTCCATTTGATTCTTCTTGAGTTTTGCTAGAGAGCTGAAACAGCAGAGGGGAAGGGGACTGGCTCCATGGCTTCTCTTGGGCATGCAGTAACTCACTGAAATAAGGAGCTAAAGGGCTCCCAAGGAATCCAGTCACTGGAACCACCTGTGCCTGAGAGATGTGATACACTCCCAGTATCTTCAACTCCAAACCTATTCTTTGTGGTTTCACAAGCAATGTTTTAGATTGAGTCCCATACTCCAGGTCACCCAGCCCTTCCTCCTGCCACACAGTGCTAATACCTACATTTGCCCTCACCTCCCTGGCTCCATCTTGCCCCAGTCCCCGGAGGATTTGTGAGAACAGCATGGCTAAAACAGTATGATATATTCAAGGGCCCCAAGCTCTAAGAACCTCAGCAACCCTCCCCAGGCAAGAGTCCTCTATTCAGTTTCCAGCAGTGCTGGTGTTTTCCTCAGCAGTTCTGTCCTGCAGGGGAGGGAAGGAGTAAAGAGAATATTACTACATTTAAATTTTTTAAAAAGTGTTTTCCTGACAGTGTGGTGGCACACGCCTTTAATCTCAGCACTTGGGAGGTAGAGGAAGGCGGATCTCTGAGTTCAAGGCCAGCCTGGTCTACAGAGAGTTCCAGGACAGTTGGGGCTACAGGGAGACCCTGTCTCAAAAAGACCTGTCTTAAAAAAAGACCGCCTCCAAAAAATGTTTTCCCCTAAAGATTTTTTATTTTTATTTTTTTGGTCTTTTTGAGACAGAGTCTCCCTGTAGCCCCAACTATCCTGGAACTCTCTCTGTAGACCAGGCTGGCCTTGAACTCACAGAGATCCGCCTGCCTCTGCCTCCCAAGTGCTGGGATTAAAGGCATGCGCCACCACACCTGGCTTCATTTTTTATTATTTTTGTTTTTGTTTTTTGAGACAGGGTCTCCCTGTAGCCCCAGCTGGCCTGGAACTTGCTATGTAGACCAGACTGGCCTTGAACTCATAGAGATCTGCCTGCCTCTGCCTTCCAAGTGCTGGAACTAAAGGTGTGCCCCACCGTGCCTGGCTCATTTTTTATTTTTAATTATGTGGATGTATGTTTGCATGTATGCATGTGTATGTGGGTTTGTACACATTCGAGTGCAGGTACCAGAGGAGATCACTGGATTCTCGGGAGTTGGAGTTACAGGTGGTGGTAAGCCACCTGATGTGGGTGCCAGGAACTGAACTTGGGTCCTTTGGAAGAGCAGCACCTTTAAATGTGGAACCAACTCTCAAGCTCCTTAAACTTTCATTGTTGTCGTTTTGTTAAACATAGGGTCTCTCTGTGTAGCCTTGGCCAACCTGGAACTTACTATGTAGACTAGCATGGCCTCAAACTCACAGAGATCAGCTTGCCTCTATCTCCTGAGTGCTGGGATTAAAGGTGTGTGTCACCTCCCCAGGCCTTTTTGTTCGTTTTGAGATAGGGTCTTACTCTGTAGTCCTGGCTGGCCTTAAATTCAGAGATCAGCCTACCTCTGCTTCCCAAGTATTGGGGTTAAAAGGCATGTGCTACCACATCCGGTCTTATATGTAAATTTTTTAAAATTTATTTTTGTATGAGTATTTTGCCTGCACATAAGGGCACACGTGTGTGTAATGCCTGTGTTGACAAGAAGCTGTCTGATCCCCTGGAACTGGAATTAAGGACAGCTGTTACTGCCATGTGGGTGCTGGGAGCCAGGCCCTCTGCAAGAGCAGCCAGTTCTCTAAACTGCTGAGATATCTTTCTAGCCCCTTAAATTTTTTTGCCTTCATGTATGTAAGTGCACCACATGCATGCAAACCTGTGGAGGCCAGAAGAGGGCTTCAGAGCCCCTGGAACTGGAGTTAAGGATGGTTCTTGGCCACCATGTGGGTGCTGGGAATCGAACCTGGGTCCTCTGCAAGAGCTGCCAGTAGTCTTAACCACTGAGCCACCTCTCCAGCCCCAAATGTAACTTTGTTTTTTTTGTTGTTGTTGTTGTTTTTGTCTTTTTGAGACAGGGTCTCCCTGTAGCCACAGCTGTCCTGGAACTCACTATGTAGACCAGGCTGGCCTTGAACTCACAGAGATCCACCTGCCTCTGCCTCCCAAGTGCTGGGACTACAGGCATGCGCCACCACACCCAGCTTTTTTGGTCTTTTTGAGACAGGGTTTCTCTGTAGCCCCAGATGGCCTGGAACTTACTATGTAGACCAGGCTGGCCTTCAGCTCACAGAGATCCACCTGCCTCTGCCTCCTGAGTGCTGGGATTAAAGGCATGTGCCACCACGCCTGGCTTCCAAATGTAACTTTTTAATGTAATCTGGTTCTATATTTAATAGGAATTTATTTTCCACTGACCAACAGACACAGTGGCTACATCATGACCTATAACCAGAGTTTGATTACCCCAAAACACCCTCCAGCTGGTCTAAGAGGTCACTTCTGCCAAAGAGTGAATGAAGCCTTTAGGAACTTCGCCAGCAAAAAAATGTTCCTTAGTACCAAATTGTATTTTCCTTGGGGCCTCATACCTACTAGGCTTAACCAGTGAGCCACAGCCCTAATGCTAGCAGACAATTTCAAAAACAGGTATCTACAGAGCCATGGAGATCATCCATTGGGTGTCACTCCCTATTTCCCTTACAAAAAGGAGAAAGATACAATCTGAAAACTGATGGAAATGGAGATTTCAGCAAGAATTGTGACTTTTGCTGTTTAATGAGGAATGGCAGAAACTAACAGAAATTCTTATCTCCCAGTAACCACATAATGGAGACAATGCCTACCTCCTGCCTCCTGTGCTGCCTTCTTGGCCAGCCTAACATGGTTCAGGTGTAGCAGGAGCTGGAGGCACCCTTCCACTGAAGACTTCTGTGTTCCCTCAGTGGTAGCTCCTGTCCCTGCTCAAGTGTTCTGCCTTTATCCGCAGCTGCCTTTTCCCTTCAAATAGCAGGATGCTTGCGGCCATGGCTGAATTCAGGCTGTCCACACCAGGCACAACGGGGATCAGAAGCCTCTTGCCCCCAGTGCTCTCAGCCAACTGCAGGGATTCCAGGCTCACACCATGTGTCTCCCCACCTATCACCACAGCTGCTGGTGCCTCTGTCCAGTCCAAATCATAACTCTGGACCTCAAGTTCAGGAAGCCAGTCTTTACTGGTTTTGGTGTCTAGGTCCTCCTCTTCTTCATACTTGTGAAACTTCAGGAATCGGCGATCACATGCCTGGTTGCGGTCACTAGCTTTATTAGATATCTGAGCCTGGGCATAGAGACCACAGTTGTCTGCCACATAGACCCGGGTGTCAGGCGGCAAGTAATTGGGCACTGTTTCCCATTCCAGATTGTTCACAATGGGTACCTGGAAATGTGCCCCCATCCCTGCCCGTAGCACTTTGGGCTCCCAGGCATCCACACAGCCTAGAAAATAAGGAGATGGTATAATTAAGACTTTATAAACCTTCCCAGACTAGGGAGGGAACTCTGGAGTAAATTCTACTAACTGATCAGGAGATAAAACAAAAATGTTTTCCATTAGAGTCTTGTCCAAAGCCTCCCAAGGGATGGCCCTGTCCAGAAGATCTGGAGGATTAACTGCCACTGGTGCTAAAAACCAATTTTGTTCATTTCACTGACCCTGTGTATACATCAGACACTGGGAATTTAAAACATCACCTCTCAACCTCCAAAAATTTGGGGTATACTGGGAGGTAGTATGGAAAAATGATCAGACAACTGCAATATCAGTGATAACCCTTGTACAAAGCAGGGATTTCAGGAAAAAAAAAAAAAAAAAAACAAACATCTAAGAATTGTGACACCATCTGATTCTTAAAGGACAAATGGATCTTGTTGGAGAAAGGCCCAGGCAGAGGACAAAGAGACAGGCAAGAAATGGATCTTGTTGGAGAAAGGCCCAGGCAGAGGACAAAGAGACAGGCAGCACAGTGAGCAAGCAGGTCAACTGATTGGCTGGTATGGTGGGAAAGAAGGTGGAGGCAGGCAGCGGTCAGCATAAAGGAGCTGAGTATGCTAAGCTGAGATGAGTGAGATTTTATCAGAAAATATTTCACAGAAAGATTTTAGCAAAACAGTGGCAGAATCTGATTTTTGTTTTAGGAAAGACCCATTTGACGTCAATGTCTGGATTAGAGCAGGGATTCCCTGCACTAAACAGGAGAAAACAGGTAGGAAGCTTGTGCAGCAATCCAGGAGAAAGCAGGTCAAGCAGGCGGTAGCGCTGACTGCCACACTCATACTTCCTCACACTGCAGTGAGAAGCTGGAGGAACCTACTCTGACACGAGTCACATCCAAGCCCAAGAGCTCCTCTCCTCTGGCTGCCCAGCGGCACTTGACCTCTCTCCCTGTGCCTACTCCCACCATGGGTGAACCGGGAGTGGGCATCTAACCATGAGTATCACATCCCTGCTATTCTCCTGGACCCAACAACACAGGTATTCTTGTGGTAAGTTAATAAAGTTAACTTGTTAAACTTAGAATAGTATCAGGTAGACCAGACTCTGTAAAGAAAAGGAGACACAGAGAACGTAATAGTGATCAGACATATCCTCACCAGTGGGCTGCCTGTGTACTTCAGGGAACCACAGATGGGAGTTGGGCTACAGGCCAAGATGAGGGAAAGGAATTAGATGGACCCCAGTTTGTGAGAACAGCTGACTACTCTCATTCCTTCACCTAGTGGAGAGTAAGGAAAAGATAAGACTTCCCTTCACCTCATGTCCTCAACACTACGCATTACACCGACTGCCCTATTCTTTCCCTACCTCCTTCACAGCAGTTAACAGTATCAATGTGAAAACTGTACTACTTGGGCTATGTGAACACATTTCCAAAGCCACAACTGCTGTCAGAGCATTCAACAATGGAATAAGCAGATACTGAAAATGGAACCTCAGCAAGTAGGTCTCATACTGCCAGAAAACTGTCCTCGAACAAGGTGTGTCCGGGAAGACTGGAAAGGAACAATTTAGGCAAGTCTCAGCAATGGCTGCCACTATTAGTTTATATTTAATGGTAGCTTGGGTGTTTCTGATGAGTGATATTCTCCCTCCTCGCTGCTCCTAGGGTATAATAGGCATTTTAGACATGTCCCAATGTTTGGCAAGTCTGTTTAGAACCAAGCCTATTAATCCCCTTCTGGTGAGAAAAGACAGCTATGTAATCAGGCTAATTTGTGTGTGGCTTGTATAACTATATTTCCCTGAGGCTAAGAGAAATGTATCAGGACACATAATCACTTTAGTGACAACCTTCCTTCCAAAGGATTCAGAACTCAAGGATTAGGAAGGTCTCATGCCCAACACCTTGGGAATTCAAGATAATTAAACATAGGATGTGAAACCAAGTGTTAAAGCTGGCATCTATACAATTAGCACATTTTAGGAAAAATCTCATTAAAAAATTAGATCTATTTCCTTCCCCTAATTGACTTAAAATTCTTAAATGACTTAGCAGATCTCAAAATAATTTCAAAAGATAATCAACATTTACTGAAGTATTTATTTGCATCATTTCAAGTATGAGGACGATTCTTAGTCCCATTCTATAGATAAGGGAATTGACATTTGGCATATTGCTTATGGACATACATATAACCCAGGGCAGATTGAAGAGTCAGACCCATGAGTGTCTGCCCAGAGCTCGCATAAACACAGACAATCAAGTCACCTGGCAAGAGGTGCTCTTACCAGGCTAGAAAAATGGCTCAGCAGTTAAGAGTGCATACATACTACTCTTGCAGAAGACCTGAGTTCAATTCCTAGCACTTACATCAGGCAGCTCAAAACTGCCTGTAACTCCAGCTCCAGGAGGTCCAGTGTCTCTGACCTCCGAGGGCACATGCCCTCATCTACACCCCCCGCCACATACACATAATGAAAAAGAAAAATAAATCTTAAAAAAAGAGAAGTGTTCTCACCTTTGGTGAGTAAGACTTTACTGCAGCCTGCTCCAGCTGCAGATCTCAGAATTGTCCCTAGGTTCCCAGGATCACGAAGATTGTCACAAATCAACACTAAGGGCAGTGAATGGTGAAGCTGAGTCTTTGGATATGTCATCTTAACATGATCAGGCTTGGCAAAAATCCCTGAAGAAACAACACAGGAGGTTCACTTGTCTGGTGTGGCATGGGATTAATTTGACTTTTTATCATTATGTATTGATAATTACATAGACAAAACAATACATTCTGAATGAAAAATTCCGAACAACATAAAATTCTACCAGTGCTAATCTCTACCCTGCTCCATCTGCCTCCCATCTGTCTCTTCTGAACTGTATGCATCTATCTAAATAGCATACTTACCACAACATTAAAAAAAAAAAAAAAACACTATGGATGTAGTGGTAGATGACTATAGTCCCAGCACTTGGGTGTAAGAAAAAAGAACTGAAATTTTGAGGACAGTTTGGGCTGCATAGCAAGTTAAAGGCCATTCTGGTCTACATAATAAGACTCTGTCATAAAACATAAAACACAGGAGCTGGAGAAATGGGTTAGTGGTTAAGAGCACTGGCTGCTCTTGCAGAGGACCTGGGTTCAGTTCCTAGCACCCACATGCAGCTAACAACTATCTGTAACTACAGTTCCAGGGGATCCGATGCCCCTTCTGACCTCTGGAGCCATTGCATGATACAGGCGCACTTATATACATGCAGACAATACACTAATACACATAAAAATAATAAAATATTTTTTAAAAAAACAAAAACGTAAAACAAGGGTTTGGGATGTGGCTCAGTAACAGGGCACTTGCTTGGCATGCACACGGCTTTAGACTTCATCTATAACACAGAAGCAACAACAACAAAAACAAGACCTGAAACCAGGTGTTAAAATTGGCATCTAAACAATTAATATAGGCAAACTAAAAACATTCTCATTCTATAACTGCTTATTTAACTCAATGATGTATCTTAAAATTTTTACGTCCATATATTTAGAGGTACCTTATTTTCTAATTGTGTGTTATTTTGTAATATCATGTATCAGAGTTTAGTGCTTTCCCTGTTGACAATTAAGTTACTTAAAAATTCCCTGTTTCAAAAAAAAACTACAATGAGGATCCACTGAGGACTCTCTCTGCAGATGTCTGAAAACTTCTCTAGGACGAACACTTGTAAGTGAAACGGCAAACAATGTGTATACACTGGATGCTAGCAAATGATGCTGAGCTGCCCTCCTCACAGGCTCTGCTACTTTATCCTTGTTAGAACTGATAAATATCTGCTCCCTAGCTCAAGACCTAGTGAGCAGAAGGAATATTTAGTTTCAATTTTTGCCAATTTAAAGGGAAAAATGGCATTTTGTTATTTTAATTTGGATTTTCTCTGATTATTAGGGAGGCGGGACATCTTTTCCCGTTAACTGCCCATTTCTATTAATCTCTTCATTCATGTTTCCTCTTTCCTGAACTGTCCTGTTGCTGTGACTTTCTCCATTTTCTCAATGGGTGGGTTTTTCTTTTAAATAATTTGTAGCTCAACCTAAATATTTAAACACCAGCCATGTTGCTCTCCTTCACAGTTTGTTTTAAAATTCAAAGTCTATTCCTGAGAAAGAGAATCTGAATTCAAAAACTTAAATTTGGGGATGGAGAGGTGGCTCAGCAGTTAAGAGCACTGACTGCTCTTTCAGAGGATCTAGCTAGGTTCAAATCCCAGCACTCACATGGTGGCTAACAACCATCCATAACTCAAGTTCCAGGGGACCCAACACCCTCTTCTGATCTCCGAGGGCACTGCATGACACAGGTGCATTTACATACGTGCAGGTAATACATTCATACATATAAAATAAAAATAATGAATAAAAATTTAAAAAAAACTTAAAATCATTCAAATAGTTACTCCAAAAAGCCCAACCCAGAAGCACTGCTTTGGCGTCACACTCTGGAAAGGCTGCACAATGGTGGGCCAGAGTGTTGTGAGGCCAGGGCATGGTCAGAAGCTCAGGTTTAGTGAGAGCACTATTTACCCAGTGACCACCCCCCTCCTCAAACTAACAACAGACACAAGTGGCCCCTAGTGGCCAGGCGTGGTGGCGCACGTTGAATTCTAGCACTCGGGAGGCAGAGGCAGGCAGATCTGTGAGTTCAAGTCCAGCCTGGTCTACATAGTGAGTTCCAGGCCAGCTGGGGCTACAGGAGACCCTGTCTCAAAAGACCAAAACCAAAACAAACAAACAAAAAAACAAGTGGCCCTGGTGAAAAATTCTCTCCTTCATTAATAATCTCTGCACTGGATCCTACAGCATGCAAAATTTTCAAAGGAGTATTTAGTGAGAAAGAAGAAAAACAGGAGGAAAAAAAAAGCTAATAGAATAAAAATAGACATAGGGTATATGAAAATTCTATGTTATAGATGAAGTAATTCTAATGGACCTCCCACATAGCCATATGTCTCTATTTGAACCCTACTGTATGGTAGAGCTGAGAGTAACAACTCACATTTTTTTATAGTCAGATACTGTTCTAAGCTTGTTTATAAATTAAAATTAAATAACTATCTCCTTTATAAGCATGCTCCATTGGGCTGTATAGTTTGGTTGGCTTTCTAAAAATTTTGCAAGCATCAAGAGAGGCTTGGTGGCACACACTTGTGATTCCAGTGCTCAGGAGGCAGAGGCAGGAGGATCACTGTAAGATTGAGGATAGCCTGAGCTAAAGGGTGAGATGCTGTCTCGAAAAATAAAAGAGAACAAAAGAAACAATGATCAACAAAAAACAAGAGCTGAAGATAGAGCTTAGCTGGTGGAGTGTTTGCATAGCATGCACAAAACCACCAGGAGTGGTGGTGCATGCCTGCAGTCTTATTACTGAGAAGGTAGAGGCAGGGGACTCAACATAATCCTTAGCCATATAGCAACTTCTAGGCCAACCTTGCTACTATGTGAGAACTTGTTTAATAGACACACACACACACCAACAATAAAACAAATTTGCAAGCATCTTGTATATAATTGCTTCAATTAACAAGTTACTGCCTAGCCAGGTGTGATGGTGCACGCCTTTGATCCCAGCACTAGGGAGGCAAGGAGGCAGGTGGAGCTCTGTGAGTTCAGCTGGTAGAGTGCACAAGGCCCTGGCTTCAATCCCCAGCATAGCATAAAACTGGTTATGGGTCTAGTGAAGTTGCTCAGCAGCTAAAGGTGCTTGCTGCCAAGAATGATAACCTGAGATTGATGCCTGGGGCTCACATGGTGGAAGGAGAACCAATTCACACAGGTTGTCCTCTAACCCACGCACATACAGGCACACAAAATAAATAAAATGCAACAAAACAAAAACAAAGCTCAACATGGTAGCACAGATGCCAATAACCCTAGCAGGAGGTGGAATCAGGAGGACCAGAGGTTCATGATCATCCTCTGGAGTTCGAAGTCAACCTGGGCTACAGAAGACCTTGTCAAATTGACTTCAGTTGCCACTGAAAATACCCTTAAAACGCATAGACTTGAGAACTATTTTTCCGGGCGGCTAAGATTAGCGAGTAACATCTGAACTTGGTATATATAAAAGTTGTTGCCTTAAGACAAGTATGAACAAGAAAGTCTAGGGCTCTACACTTCACTTGTATAAAGAAGAAATTCTAGGTACTGATACACTGTAAACCACTGACCCATTATTCCTTGTGGTGTTACTAGGTCGGACCAATCCTTGATATCCTCAAATTTCACCTTAATGAGGCTGACACCTTTCAGCTTATCGACTGGCAACTCCTTTACGTATTCCAGGCGGCTGAAAAAGAACACTTTGGGCACAGCTCCAGCCTTGAGGGCATCTGCAATCAGCCTGCGACCTTCCAGTAGGATCTTCCCTTGCTTTTCCCGAAATGGCCTGGACTTAACTATTGTCATTACACTGCTGTGGATGGAAACAAAATGAGGGATGGTTATCAACGTTCTTGTTGCTGGGCACATCTAGCTCTAACAGACACGAAGAGCTCCCAGAGACACAAATCCCAAAGAAGGCACCGATTCTGCATAGTACAAATTTAAAAAAAAAAACAAAACAAAAAAAAACAGTAAGAGCCAGTAGGTTGCACTGAAGAACTCCACTAGGAGAAAGTCAAGGTCCCACCGTGAGGCAGGAAAAGAACTGGGAATAGTTGATAAGCCTCAGGAACACATCACCTCAGCCTCCTGTCCCCCGGAGACGCCTTATCGTAGCGAAGCCCTGCCTCTTCCCAGGTGTGAGGTGTGTGGGATGGGGATGTCTCAAGTGGCTGTTTCTGTCGCTGCTCCTGGGACCTGGCCTCAGAGGCCGTCTTGCGGGGCTGCTGTTCAGGAGCGCGCTTCCGTTCCTCCACCTTTCCGGAGGGAAACACTACTCTCACCGGGCTCCGCCGCAGCGCCCGGACGCAACGCCTCACATCCAGGTGGCTCGCCCGGACCACCGGCAGCAACTGCCTCGCCGCAAACCATATGGGCCTCGCCGGCGCCGCCATCTTTGTTACCTCAGGCAACGCGCCGTCGAGGACTAGTGACGTCGCCAGACTGTGCTTTCTGGTCTGTGGGCGGGGCGGGGCGCCCGTGAGACCGGCTTCCTAGTGAGAGTCATGGCCTCTCGACGAGTTCTACACTTCGTATTTAAAGTGGGAAACCGCTTCCAGACGGCGCGTTTCTTCCGGGATGTCCTGGGGATGCAGGTGCAGGCCGGGATGGGCGGCCGAGCTGGGGAGGGAGGAAGCGGTGGGCCCGGCCATTCAGCCTGTAGGCCCAGGGCTCCGCGTCGGCACGGCGGGGTTTTCAGTCTTGCTGGGCGGTGCGAGCTCCTAGTTTCGGATTAGGTAACCTTTGAAAGGAACTGACTTACCCAGCTGTGTGTCTACACAAGTTCAGTCGCCTACGGTCCTTCACAAATATTTGTTAAACTCCTGACTTGGGGAGCTTCCTGTGAAGTAGCGTTAACTTCAGAAAGTTATAGCAGTTTCTTCTAGTTAACAACGCAGCCTCTTCTGGTTTGAAAAGTTCTGCTTCCATTAGGCCTGGGCTTTTAAAATTTTAAGTTCTGGGGATTGAACCCCTAGGCTTGCGCGTGCTAAGCACCATCACATTACACGAACATCCCGTCAGGGCTAGTTTAAATGGTCGCTTGGGTACTCAGGCTCTCTGTGTAAACCTGGCTCTCAACAGTATGACTTCAGAATCTAGTCTCCTCCCCCAGTACGAGGAAACAGCCTCTCTACAGCCCTGAGAAGCTGTGACTCTACAGGAGTCATTTAGCCAAAAATGTAGTGGAGGTTATTGTGGGGAGGTAGGGAACACACCAGAGCAGAATGCTTTGTACAAACAAGAACACAAGCTTAGTATTGAGACTGTACAGAAAATGAGAAGTGTAAAGGGAGTTACAGGAATTAATCAGTCTGAAATAGCTCAGCAGTTCAGTGCCTGCTGCTCTTGCAGAGGACCTGAGTTCTGTTCTCAGCGCTCACATCAAGTGACTTACAGCCACTTGTAACTCCATCTCCAAGGGATTCAGTGCCCTCTTCTGGCACCCTTGAGCACCTGTACACATGTGGCACAACACACATACACACACACACACACACACAATCTATGTTTCAGGATACCATTCTGAAGTTTAGTAGCAAAGATGCAAATAACTTTGGTATTTGATCTCATTTGGAGCACAGGGTCTGGGATGGGAGGGGTTTGGAAATTAAATTTTTACCTAACAGTCATGGAGTCAAGAGTTTGGTAAATGATAGCAGAAAACCACAAAGCTCTCATTATTGTATTTCTTCATTGATCAAAAGGTTGTTATGAAAATTAAGCATGTTATTGTACAGGTGATATTTGACTCATAGCAAGTCTGTGTTAAGTATTAGCTGCTATTACTATAAAATTATAAAAGGAGAAGTTTCCCAACATGGGTTCATCAGGAAATAATTCATGGAGACCTTGTGTTCAAATTGATCACGAAGCTGAGTGCGGTGGCACACGCCTTCAGTCCAGCACTGGGAGGCAGAGGCTGGGGGATCTCTGTGAGATCAAGGCCAGCCTGGTCTACAAAGCGAGTTCTAGGCCAGCTGGGGCTACAGGGAAACCCTGTCAATTAAAAAAAAACAAAAACAGAAACACAAGGTGACCATGAAAAATAGGATTTCCACATACCAAGGTTAGGTGGGAGAGTTACACTAGAGGAACTGAACAGGTGATACAAAGATGTTTGGGAAGCACCACTGGTTTTGTTTGCATTTAGCTAAGATGAAGAGATAGACTGTGAGAACAGATAGGTTGGGATTGCTTCTGGTATTGAATGCTGTGCATGCTAAGCAATTTGCTGAAGTAAATGGGGTGCTTTTTGTGTGTGAGCATGGTGATTATGGTAGCTGGTCTTGGTTGTCAACAGCTGGGAAGAGGAAACCCCAATTGAAATTTACTCCATCAGATTGGCGGCCTGTGTGCATGTATGCGGGGCAGTTTGTTAGTTTTTTTGTTTTGACACAGGGTCTCCTTGTAGCCCCAACTGGCCTAGAATGTGCTATATAGACCAGACTGGCCTTGACCTCAAGGACACTAGCCTGCCTCTGACTCCCAAGTGCTGGGATTAAAATCTTGAGCCACCATCCCCAACAAGCTGGGCATTTTTTTGATTGCTAATTGATGTAGGAGGACCCAGCCCACTGTGGGCAGGACCATCACTAGGCAGATGGACTTAAACTATATAAGAAATATAGCAGACCTTGAGCCTAGGATGAACCAGTGAGCATTTTTCCTCCATGGTTTGTTTCTGACTTAGTTTCTGCGTGAGTTCCCTCAATGAATTGTGACCTGGAAGTCTAAGCCAAATAAACCTTTTCCTCCCCTCGGTTGCTTTTGGTCAGAGTGTTTTGCAACAGTAATAGAAAGCAAACTACAACAGTGGTGATGTCATCAGAGATATGCTTTAGGGGTATACTTTTATCTTGATATTAGGAAAGAGATCAATAAGGAATTTTTTAAGTGGAGAGGAGGACACAGTCTTAGTACCTCAGGTTGCTCTTGAACTTGCTGTCCTTCTGCCTCAACCTCCTTGAGTGCTGGGATTATAGATATGCACCACTATACCAACAAATGAAGATGATTTTTAGTAATCTTTGAGGGAAGGAATCGGAGCTTCAGTAATAGCGGTGGAAATTAAAAAGAAAACATCTGAGTGTGGTAGCCCATTCCTGTAAGCTCAGCGGTTGGAAGGCTGCAGCAGGATTTAGAGCTCACAGCCAAGCAGAAAAACTAAGACTGCATTCTAAGATGTCTGCATTTTAGGTTCTGTGTTAGATGTTTGAACAGGTTTTCCATCTTCACCAACATATTAGGAGCCGAGGCTCAGAGCCTAAAATGGCTTACTCAGCATTACACACTGCAATCAGAGTTCTCTAATGCTGAGCATATTTTCCATCACACAGCATGGCTTCCTAACCTGAACAAAATTTCACAGCTGTTTGGTAGTGTGACTTTAGGTATTAACCTGTTTTTCTGCACCTCTACTACATCTAACCTAGAATGATCTGTTTCTCTCTCTCTCTCTCTCTCTCTCTCTGAATAATGGCTATGTTTTGACCTTTTAGTATGTATTCAGTGAGCTATGTACAGTACTAGTAAAACTAAACAAGCTGGGCATGGTACCACCACCTGAAATCCCAGCATGTGAGTGGCTAAGGCAAGAGGATTGTGAATTTGAGCTCATCTGGGCTATATAATGAGACTTTAAATATATGATGAGATTTAAAAATCAAGGGCTAGGGATATTGTTCAGCAGTAGAGCACTTGTCTAACACAAGTCTTTGGGTTTAGTCCCCAGTACCACAAAAAAGTAAAACTTAACAATTTATTCTAATTCCCTTAATAGGTTCTGCGCCATGAGGAATTTGAAGAAGGCTGCAAAGCTGCGTGTAATGGGTATGACACTTTATATAGGAAAGTCTTCTTGGGTTCTGAATAGCCCCTAAACAAACATGCTTTCTCAAAGTGAATATAAGACAGTGGAATAAATTAAGGAAGCAAGAAATAAGAGAGGGGACCCAAATAACAGTGAGGAAACATCCTCTGTTTCTTTGCACTTTTGATATAATAAGCAATTCTCTAGCTCTCCAAATGCCAGTCAGGTATTCTACTAGCAAACTTAATTCTTTCCTGGAGGAAATGAGACCAACTATACAGGGCAACCCCTTCCTCATGTTCAGTTATTTGCTAAACTGTCTCCCAGACCTTAGGGAAACACTACTTATTTTTACTGGTTTATTGTACAGATTAGGAAGAGCTGAATAGAAGAGCTGAATAGAGAAAGGATGGAGAAGAATAGAACTTCTATGTCTTCCCATGCTCCCAATACCCCCATGGCTTCAGCAAGTTCATCAAATCTTGTTCAATAGCTTTTACATGGATCAATAGCACATATTCTCCAGTAACTCCTCTTCTCAATAGTAAGTGAGGTTGAACGTTCTAATTGCTTGGTCTTTTTGGCAACCAGTCCTATCCTCAGTCTATCTAGATGACTCACCAAAGACTCACCTTTAGTCAACTCATTATCATAAACCAAGGCATACTAGAAAGAGTTCATGAGTATAAGACACACACATTAGGAAATTCCAAGGTTTAATTAAGCTAGGAAATAGCAAAGACCAAATATAGTTCATATTGCCCCACAAGAACAAATAAATATGTGCTCCTGGATAAAGCAGTGACTGTTGAGTATCTCTTAAGCCTAGTATCCATGGTGAGTTGAAAATTTCCAAGGCCTATTGGAATTTGCACACTTATTGACTGATTGATAGTCAAAGAAGTTATCTAAGGTTAGACTAGAAAATGACCTTTAAGATTCTTTTCCTTGCTTTAAAAAAAATCCCCTTTAATAAGTACACAGCTACTTATTAATACTCTCTGGAGTTAGTACTCTGGAGTCATCTCATCCTTATTAGAATTTATGAGAGCAGAAGGGACTGCCCACCTCAGAATAGGGAGTCTGATTTTGCCTGTGGTCACTGAATTCACTTACTTTCATTTTTCTAGGCCTTATGATGGGAAATGGAGTAAAACAATGGTGGGATTTGGACCTGAGGATGATCATTTTGTTGCAGAACTGACATACAATTATGGCATTGGAGACTACAAGCTTGGCAATGACTTCATGGTAAATATCACTCTGTCCCAACGTGTAGATGGATGAGGCAGGTGGCTTGTTTTAATTTGAAGTTGGGTGTTGAGAGTGTCAGTGAGATGATAAGGGAGCAAAGTAAGTAGGCAGTATTCTCTCTCAGTGGAGAGAATAGCCTGTGTGGAGGCCCTCAAACAGCACCTGGCATGTTCGAGAAAGTGCAAGGAATAGCTAACTGGTAGAGAAGACAAGGAGAAAGTGCTAGGACATGGGTGTGATGTGGCATGGCAGCTGGATGTGGTGACACATGCCTGTATTCCCAACACTAGGAAGGCTGAGGATCATTTCAAATGGAAGGCTGGCCAGTCAAACCAAGATCAAGATTTCTCTCTCCAGATCTTGAAAATTTGAAGACATTGTCTTCGGTATTAAGTGGATCAAACTTCACTGACATTTGAATTTTTTCCCATGAATCATAAAGATCTGAATCTGGAGAGTTTGGAGAAAACATCTAAAAACTACCCTGTTTTTTTTGGTGTTTTTGGTCTCCCTATAGCCCCAGCTGACCTGGAACTCACTATGTAGACCCAGTGTGCACCACCACGCCCAGCCAAAACCTACTTTGAAATCACTAGAAGAGAATGTGAATTAAATCTTGGATGATTTGACCAAAGACTTTGGGTCTTTGGCTTCTTGTCTTGTAAAATCTCTGTTGTGGTGATATATATGGGTATTTTCTGTCATAGGGAATCACACTGGCTTCTAGCCAGGCTGTCAGCAACGCCAGGAAGCTGCAGTGGCCACTCAGTGAAGTCACAGAAGGAGTTTTTGAAACTGAGGCCCCAGGAGGATATAAGTTCTATTTGCAGGATCGCAGTCTACCTCATTCAGGTAATTATACCAGGACTTGAAAAATTCTGTCTAAAGACACATTTGATGAAGAAGGGAAAGAGTTGGAGTTCTCTTTCTATTATAGTTGTGTCCTTGCCAAGTCAGTATTGTTGCATGGTTTTGGGGAAATTATATCCTTATGTTAGTACATTAGTGCATAGCTACAGGGACTCTAGGCTGGTTCTGTTCTGCAGGTAATATATTTCTTTAGGATTCTCTCCTAAACAGGAACTCAACTCAAATTAGTTTGAAGAATGAGAACATTTTTCTAGTTCATAGGGCAACTCTTCTATAGGTAGGAAGACTGAGGGTCAGTTGATTCAGCAACTCAGCCATGGTATCAAGAATCTAAATTTTCAAGGCTGGGTGTGTGGTGGCACACGCCTTTAATCCCAGCAGAGGTAGGCAGATCTCTGTGAGTTCAAGGCCAGTCTGGTCTACATAGTGAGTTCTAGACCAGCTATGGCTACAGGGAGACCCTGTCTCAAAAAAAAAAAAAAATCCAAATTTTCTATGCTTCTAGAACGTGTTCCCTCACTAGAATAGGATGGTTTCTGGTAGCAGTTGGGCTACATGCTCCAGTATTCACTATGGAGAGGAGACAGGGAACTGAGTCCTTGATGCTTTTTTGTTGTTGTTTTTGAGACAAGGTCTCCTGTAGCCCCAGCTGGTCTAGAACTCACTACATAGACCAGGCTGTCTTTGAACTCACAATGAGATCTGCCTGCCTCTGCCTCCCAAGTGCTGGAATTAAAGGCCTGTGCCACCCCCAGCTCTTACTGCTCTTCTTAAAGAACAGAACAAACCTTGGACTCTGCCAGGTCACTTGCTGGTCAGATTTAATATACTGTGTCTGCTCAATGTAAGCTGAGTAGCCCTACTTCAAAAATTCTAAATGTTCCCAAACCCAAAATATCAGATTTTTTTCTTTGGTTGAGACAGTGTCTGAACTGTAAGCCTAGGCTAACCTAGAACGTGCTAATCCTACAATTTCAACCTTGCAAGTGCTGGGATTTTAAGCACATGTTACTATGCCCCCACAGTTTCAGATTTTGGAGTTTGGGTTTTCAGATTACAGTTAATCAACCAGTAAAGCCCATGCAAATTTTTCAGAATTTGAAATACTTTTGGTCCAACACATTTCATAAAGGAAGCTTCAACCTAGTCTTAATAGATAGTGCCACAGTCCTAAGATATTTTGTCCATTCAGATCATAAGATCTTTGAGGCATTCATTTCCTGTTGGCAATGTAGCCAAATCTGTTAGCCTGATTCAAACTGTTCCCATCCTGGTTCTTGGATCTCTTCTGGGTCTGGTGGGTGTTTGTTTTGTGTTTTCTGTACTGGGGATTGAACCTAAGCTCTCACATGTCTCACATGTGCAAGGCAAACATTCTATGACTGAGCTATATTCTCAACCCTCCCTCAAGCTCTGAATGAACTTGCATTTGTTGATTTTAAAATTAGAGAAGGGCCTGGAGAGATGGCTCAGCAATTAAGATTGCATAAGTGTGTTAATTCAACTGTGAACCTAGAAACTTGTACCCACTTGTGAAAGAGATGTACTCTTGCTCTGGAGTGTGTTACTGAATATGTTAAAGCGGTAGTGAAATGCTTCTTCTAATCATGTAGTTATTAAAAATTTAAAAAAAATAATGATTTAAAAAAAAAATGATGGCATAACTGCTGCCGGGACTTGGTAGTGCATGCCTTTAATTATAACACTTGGGAGGCAGAGGCAGGCGGATCTCTGTGAGTTCAAGGCCAGCCTGGTCTATATAGAGTTCCAGGCCAGCTTGGGGCTACAGGGAGACCCTGTCTCAAAAAAAAAAAAAGATTGCATACTGCTCTTCTGTTCTTGTAGAGGACCTGAGTTCTGTTCCTAGCACTCACCCATGTTAGAGGGCTTGCAACACCCACTTCGGAATTCTTTAGGCACCTGCTCTCACTTGTGTACATAAACACACATATAAAAATAAAATTGGCGGGGGAGGGGAGGAAAATAAATAAATAAATAAATAAAATAAAATTGGCTGGTTCAAAAGTAGTGAATCCTTGATTGTTCATCATCAATTACAGAGATTGGATTCCTTGTTCTGCACTTTTCACTACTGCATTTGACTAGTAAAAAAAAAAATCGTGGGACTGGAGAGATGGCTCAGCAGTTAAGAGCACTGACTGCTCTTGCAGAAGATCCAGGTTTGATTCCCAGCACCCATATGGCAGCTACAAACCATCATTAACTCCAGTCCCAGGGGAATCCAAAGCCCTCTTCTGACCTCCGCGGCATTGCATGACACGGGTGCACTCACATACATGCAGGCAATATACTCGTACACATAAAAATAATAAATAAAATATTTTTTAAAAATCGTTAAAAAAAAGTAATAAATAAAGTCAGTGGTCAAAAGTAAAATTGAGTCTGCCAAGAGGAGGCTCTTGCATGAAGCGTCTTGGTTTAATGATGACGTTTTAGCAAATGGAATTAAGATAGCAAAAAACAAAGGAAAATAGACTGAATCTGTCAAAGATGTAGATAAAATGGCTCTCTAGGGCCAGGCCTGGTGGTAAATGCCTTCAATCCCAGCACTTGGAAGTCAGAGGCATAAGGATCTCTGTGAGATTGAGGCCAGCCTGGTCTACATAGTAAGTTCCAGGCCAGCTGGGGTTACAGGGAGACCCTGTCTCAAAACAAAACAAAAAAATCCTAGCTCTCCAGAGATTTACTTTGGCCATACCTAGTGGCTCAGGCCTACAGTCTCAGTTAGTTGGGAAACTAAAGCAAGACTTTGAGGCCTACTTTGGCTACAGAGCAAATTTAGGACCAGTCTGGGCAACTTACTTAGAGCCAGTCTCAAAAGAGAAAGTGAAAATAAGGCTCAGTGGTAGAGTCTTTACCTATCGTATGTGAAGCCCTAGGTTTAAATTCCAGTACTAAAAGAAAGGAGGGGAGGAAGGGAATATTGCTTCACAGGGCTACAGCTGCAGCTTAGTGGTAGAGCACTTTCCTAACGTGCAAGGACCTGGGTTCAGGGCCCAACACTGAAAATAAATTACAGAAAATTAATTTACAATGTAAAATATTTCCATTTGGGATTGGCAAGATGGCTCAGCAAGTAAAGGCACTTGCCAGCAAGACTGATTTCCTGAGATCAATCTGTGGGACTCACATGGTAGAAGGAAAGAACTGACTCCTGAAAACTGTTCTCTCAATGCCACATGAACGCTAAGGCACACATACACAAACACATACTCTCATGCATACACATATGCACACACGCATGCACGCACATACAAATGCAATAGAGTCAGACTTTTTTAAAAAATGTTTTTAGGGATGGAGAAATGACTCAGCAGTTAAGAGCACCTGCTTCTCTTGCTGAGAACCGAAGTTCGGTTCCCAGCACCCATGTCAGACAGCTGTAGCTCCAGAGGATCCCGATATCTTGTCTGGCCTCTGCAGGCACCCACAGGTACACATAAATAAGAATAAGTTAAATCTTAAAAATGCTTCCATTAGCTGGGCGTGGTGGCCCATGCCTGTAGTCCCAGCACTTGAGAGGCAGAGGCAGGCAGATCTCTCTGAATTCAAGGCCAGCCTGGTCTACATAGTGAGCTCCAGTTGGGGCTACAGGGAATCCGTTTCAAAAAGACCAAAAAAAAAAAAGCTTCCATTAATGTTAGCTGCTTTGTTTTTGTTTTAATTTTTTATATATATTTTATTTTATTATTTTTATTTTATGCATATGCGTGTATTGCCTGCATATAGGTAAGTGCACCTGTGTCATGCAATGCCTGTGGAGGACAAAAGAGGCTGTTGGATGCCCTGGAACTGGAGTTATGAACAGTTGTTAGCCACCATGTGGGTGCTGGGATTTGAACCCGGATCTTCTGTAAGAACAGCCAGTGATCTTAACCACTAAGCCATCTCTCCAGCCCCTTTTAATTTTACTTGTTTTCTTTTTAAAAAAATTTATTTTATGGGTATGAATGTATTGCCTGCATGTGTGTAAGTGCACCATGTCCTGCAATGCCAGAAGAAAGCATCAGATCTCCTGGAACTGGAGTTAACAGACGGTTGTTAGTCACCATGTGGGTGCTGAGAATTGAACCTGGGTCCTCTGCAAAAGTAGGCAGTGCTCTCAACTGCTGAGCCATCTCTCCATCCCGTGTTTTAATTTTTATTTTTTTAAAATTAAAAAAATTTTTTTTTAATTTTATGTGTATGAGTGTATTGCCTACATGTATGTGAGTGCTCCTGTGTTGTACAATGCCTCGGAGGTCAGAAGAAGGCTTCAGATTCCCCTAGAACTGGAGTTAAGGATGGTTCATAGCTGCCATGTGGGTGCTGGGAATCGAACCCGGGTCCTCTGCAAGAGCAGTCAGTACTCTTAACTGCTGAGCCATCTCTCCAGCCTAAATTACCTTATTTGCACATGTGCACATGCTGTAGCACATGTGTGATGATCAGAGGGCAAGCAACTTATAGGAGTCTCTCCTTCTTCCATGTGGGTTCTAGGAATCAAATGCAGGCCTTTGGGCTTGGCGGCAAGTACCTTTTCCACTTAGTCATCTTACTAGCTCCTTCAGTTTTGTTTGTTTTTTGCTTTTTTTGTGTTTGTGTGTGTGTGTGTTGAGGGTTGAACCCTGGACCTTATTCATGCTAAGCACATACTCTACCATTGAACTCTATCCCCAAACCCAGTGGTAGGTATTTTAGTATAATTTTCCTTCTCTTTACAAAATATTTTTTTTCATGGACAAACAGGTAAGCATACACATTATACAACCTCTGTGAACATTCTAGAGTAAATCTTTCCAATCATTTATCCAAAACAATATGGATAGATAAGCATCTGTTTCTGCATAAGCCATTGCAGGAATTTTGTTGCAGTATTACAGTATAAAAGAGGAAACAGTTCTCTGTTGTTGGATATTTATGTTTCTAGTGTTTCGTTGTTCTGGGTAACACTGGTGAATGTCTTTGTGATAAAAAGCCCTTCATACATCTACGGTCACTCTCTGAATTGCTGAGAATGGACTTGCTTTTTCAGCAGTGTATATTTTAAAGCTTTTTGTACATTCTGTCAAATCCTTGCCCATGAATTTTCTAATTTATACTCTATCAGTATTTTGTGATTTTGATTTTCTTCCCTACAATAAAACAATCAACATTACTAATTTTGTTAAGAGAACAAAAATTAAATAATGATAATGAAAAAGAAATTATTTGCCAGTAATTCCTTGGTTCATTCTTTATACTTAATCCTTTAACCCATCAGGAATGCATTTTGCTATTTAATTCAAATATGTAGCTTTCCCCACCAAGTATCTTACTATCACTTATTTGGCTACTGTTCCCTTTTATATTGATTTAAAATGCTTTTCTTTTTAAAAATTATCTATTTTATTTTATATATATGAATGTTTTGCCTGCATGTTTATAAGTGCACCATGTGCGTGCAATGCCTGCGGAGACCAGGAGACTAACTCCCTGGTACTGGAGTTACAGATGGTTGTTAGCTGCCACATGAGTGCTGGGAACAGTCCCTGATCCCCCTTGACCTCTCCAAGAGTAACCAATGCCCTTTAATTGCTGAGCCATCTCTTCAGTCCTAAAATTTTCTTATCATAGACTAAAGTCTTTGGATAAGAAGAAGAGTTGCTGGAAATCGAAGTTAAAGCTTTGTGCATGCTAGGCACACACTCTACTTCCAGCCTTCTAAATCCTTAGGTGTGCTTGAGCCTATTTTGAGTTTTGTTTTGTTTTTTCTTTTTGAGGCAGGGTCTCCCTGTAGTCCCAGCTGGCCTGGAATTCACTATGTAGACCAGGCTGGCCTTGAGCTCACAGAGATCCATCTGCCTCTGCCTCCTGAGTGCTGGGATTAAAGGCATGCGCCACCACTCTATTTTGAGCCTTTTTTTTTTTTTTTTCTGGTCTTTTTGAGCCTTTTTATTCTATTCCACTGAACTGACCTGGTTCTGCTGTTTATTACCTTACAGATCCTGTATTAAAAGTAACTCTAGCAGTATCTGATCTTCAGAAGTCCTTGAACTACTGGTCTAATCTATTGGGAATGAAAATTTATGAACAAGATGAGGAGAAGCAAAGGGCTTTACTAGGCTATGCTGATAACCAGGTGAGTCATCTTGCAGAAAAATAAGTTGTCTGTTACTTTGAGTTTGATTCATAAATAAGGTTAACATGCAGGTCATTCCCATGGTTTCTTCACCATGATTCAGTGTTTATACGGATAAACAGAAGGAAATATAGGGAGTTGGAGAGATGGCTCAGTGGTTAAGAGTACTGGCTGCTCTTGCAGAGTACCTGGGTTCAGTTCCTCTCACCCACATGGTAGCTAACAACTGTCCATAGCTAACAACTGTCCATAATTCCAGTTCCAAGGGAATCCGACACCCTCTTCTGACGTCTGCTAGCATTGCACACATGGGTATATGTACCTACGTGCAGGCAATATGCTCATACACATAAAACAAAAATAATAAATAAATATATATAAATATTTAAAAAGTAGAAGAAAAAGTGATAGCCTTAGCACCCAGACACTAACCTCAGTTTCTAATTAGGGTTAGCTGGCCTGCGAGCTTCCAGAGTCTCTCCTGTCTCTGCCTCCTATCTCACTGTAGGAGTGCTAAAATTATAGACCCATGCCACAATATCCAGTTTTATGTGGGTTCTGGGGATTTGAACTGATTTTACATGCTAAGTGCTTTACCCACTGAGCCATCTCTCCAATCCAGCACTTTTAGAGTTTTATATTATACACTTGTATGACCTGTCTGAAAGCATAAGCCAACTTTGTTACTTCTTTTTAGTGTAAGTTGGAGCTACAGGGCATCAAGAGTGCAGTTGATCATGCAACAGCCTTTGGAAGAATTGCTTTTTCTTGTCCCAAGAAAGAGGTACTGTTTCATAACCTGATTATATAAGCTTTGTTACTCTCTTGTTTCAACCCAGCTGAGAACCTTGGACCTCCTGTCTGGGTTCATTCTGATTGTGATATGTTACCATGCTAACCATTCTTTGAAGAACCACTAAGATAATAAAATCAATCAAGTGGTGCCTTGGCAAATGTGGACCATTCCATAAAAGGGGCACATGATCCTTGCTCACTTGCCTTTTTGTGTTCTTCAAGTTACCAGACTTAGAAAACTTGATGAAAAGGGAGAACCAGTCAATCCTGACTCCCCTAGTGAGTCTGGATACTCCAGGAAAGGCAACAGTGCAAGTGGTCATTCTGGCTGACCCTGTAAGTATTGCTTACCAAGGGAACAGGCTGTTCCAGGGATTTCTTCAGAGGTTTTTTAAAAAAGCACATTGCTTTTTTTTTTTTTTTTTTGCTATAGGATGGACATGAAATTTGCTTCGTTGGGGATGAAGCTTTTCGAGACCTTTCTAAGATGGATCCAAAGGGAAGCAAATTGCTGGATGATGTGAGTCTCATTTCTACACTAGTATCATTATAGGCCAGAGGTGCATGGATATAAACTATGTATGGGGAGAGCATGTCCTTTTGCTGTTGAATATTTTACCCAGAGACCAATGCCACCCATATGACTGCTTATGGAACTTAGCATCTCTACCTTCCCACTGCCTCAGGCTGCCTAGAGAGCCACTGCTGCCGTGTGTACCATGATTCTACTCAGTGAGTGGGAATACCTGATGCCATCCTCTCTTGTTTCCTTGGTCTTTTGGTTGTCTTGTTTTCATTTGACAGCATAAACCTCTCCTTTCCTAGTGGATTGTTCTCCTTATTATACCAGGAGAACACTGGTAAGAGATGGCTCAGCAGTTAAGAACACTGGTTGTTCCTGCAGAAGACCCAGGTTTGAATCCCAGCACCCACATGGCAGCTAACAACTGTCCGTAACTCCAGTTCCAGGGGATCCGACAGCCTCTTCTGTCCTCCGCAGGCATTGCATGACATGGGTGCACTTACCTACATGCAAGCAATACACACATACACATAAAAATAACAAATACAATATTTTTTTTAATTGCTCTAAGTAATAATTTTTAAAAAACTTTTAATTGATTAAATTAATTCCTTGTCCCTTCTTCAGATGTTATTTTTAAGATAAAAGTCTTCACCATGTAGTCCAGGCTGGCATCAAACTAATGATCCCCCTGCCTCAGCCTCCGAGTGCTGGATTTACACACCAAGACCACTAGATTTCTTTAGATTTTGCCTTTAAAATCTGTTTATAAATGGTTTCTACCTCTTGTCTTAAATACATACTTCAGTCTATTCTGTGCTGGATCGTGTCAGTGAGTTACATGCTCAAGTTGGCATCATTGCTGATCTCCATCAGGCCAAATCCAACATCTTCTTTTCTATTCCCATCAAACTTGATCTTTTTTTTTTTTTTAATGACTTCAAGCTCAGTGGGCGGTGTTGTGGCACATGCCTTTAATCCCAGCAGGCCCTTGGAAGGCAGATGCAGTAGGATCTCTGTGAGTTTGAGGCCAGCCTGGTCTACATAGCAAGTTCCAGCTGGGAGACCCTGTCTCAAAAAGACCAAAAATTAAAAAAAAAAAGTTCAAGCTCAGTCTCTGCTACATAAGGCAGCCTTGGCTAAATGATACCCTATCTCATCCCCTCCCCAAATGGTTACATATTGATCCCTTGGTAAGAATGTTGTGACCAGGGAATCTAAATTCATATTTCTTCTAGGAACAGCTGTTGAATCTTCACTGATTTGATTTTTGCAGAGATTTTATAGACCTACTGTGCATAAAAAGAAAAAAGAAAAGACAAAAAGGGAGGGAGGCCTGGAGAGGTGGCTTAGTGGTTAAGAATATTGGCTGCTCTTACAGAGGATCTGGGTTTAGTTCCCAGTAGTTACATGGCAGCTAACAACTGTAATTCCAGTTCTGCAGAATTGGACATCCTCATCTGGCCTCTGCAGGCACACCATGCATGTCTGCACTTAAATACATGCAGGTAAAACACTTATACACATAAAAAAAATTAATAATCAAAAATAGAAAAAAACTACTATGCATAACAAGAATTGACTCTCCATTTACCCATTTTCCCTATCCATTATTATATAGCAATATTATATTTTAGATGCTTTTCTCAAAGTAAGTTACAGTCATTAGTGCCCATTACAGCCTTAGCATTCTGCATGCAGTCTAGTCACTTTGGCATAATTACTCTGGACAGTTGATTCTATCATGTAAAGTAAAAGCTGAGGTTGCTAAGATTGTGTGTAAGAACAAATCTGTGAAATTGTGAAGGAAAAATAAGTGTCCTGGTTTTGCTGTTGCACCTCAAAACATAGAAGTGATGTCCTACACATGGTAAGTCCTTAGTTCAAAGCAGGGCTGGGGGAGGTTCGGTCGAGGGTCACTTGTCTAGCATGCACAAGGTCCAGTTCAGTCCCAGCAACCCCCACAAAAAAAAAAAAAAAATCGGAAGGCATTACATGACAGGGTTCACTGCTATTTGGGCATATCTGGAGTCTCAGACCCTGTTCCTGAAGATCAGGGGCTTATTCCTCGTCTGTGTGAGTTGAGCTTGTTCTGCATTCTCACCAGCATTTGACTTGTTTATTACTTTTTGGATTTTGTTAGCCATTCTAGCACACGGAGGATAGTTTCTTATTTGGGCTTTAGTTTGAATTTCCCTAATAACTAATAAGCAAGTGCTCTTACCCACTGAACCATCCCTCCAGCCCCCAGCCCCTATTCTAATCTGAAATGTTTTTTTTTAATCTGTATTTTTGCTTGTTTCTAGCCATAACTAAATCAATTTTAATTGTTTTTTTTTTTTTCAATATTAGGTGTTGAACCCAGGGTATTGAGCACCTTGTGTATGTTGGACAAGCGCTCCAGTACTGAGCTATATCCTTGGCCCTTTATTATTAATTAGTTGGAATTTTTGTTTTTTGAGGTGCTAGAAATTGAAGCCAGGGCCTTATGCATGGTACATAAGTACTTCAGCCCTGCCCACAAGAGTCTTTTGCAAAGAGCAAGTATTCATTTTTTTATCTACTTTTTCTTCTATGTTTACAGCTTTTTTGTTTCCAGTGAACCTTTCTCCTTGGGTATTCTAGGAATGTTTCAAACTCAATGTGTCTGGAACTTATTTTACCTCAGGAGAAACTTATTTATTTATTTATTTATTTATTTATTTATTATTTATTTATTTTATTATTTATTTTGCTCTTTTTGAGACAGGGTCTCCCTGTAGCCCCAGCTTTCCTGGAACACAGTATATAGACCACGCTGGCCTTGAACTCACAGAGATCTGCCTGCCTCTGCCACCCAAGTGCTGGGACTAAAGGCATGCGCCACCACACCTGGTAAGAAATTTATTTTTAAATACTATTAAATAACTAGACATAGGAGCACATGCCTTTCATCCCAACACTTGGAGGCAGACAGATCTCTAAGTTGAGGCTAGCCTGGTCTACTTAGTGAGTTCTAGGCCAACTAGGATTGCATAGTGAGACCCTTTCTCAAATAATAAGCTGGGCATGGTGGCGCATGCCTTTAATCCCAGCACTTGGGAGGCAGAGGCATAAGGATCTTTGAAATTAAGGCCAGCCTGATCTGTGTAGCAAGTTCCAGGTGAGTAGGGGCTACAGGGAAGAGCCTGTTTCAAAAAAAAATTAAATAGGGGCTGGCTCAGCATTTAAGAACACTGACTGTTCTTGCAGAGGACCCAGGTTTGAATCCCAGCACCCACATGGCAGCTAACAACTGTCTGTAACTCCAATCCCAGGGGATCTGACAGCCTCTTCTGACCTCCACAGGCCTTGCACGACACAGGTGCACTTACCTACGTGCAGGTATAACACTCGTACACATCAAGTAAAAATAATAAAGCCGGGCATGGCGGTGCACACCTTTAATCCCAGCACTTGGGACACAGAGGCAGGCAGATCTCTGAGGTCAAGGCCAGCCTGGTCTACATAGTGAGTTCCAGGACAGCTGGGGCTACAGGGAGACTATCTCAAAAAGACCAAAATAATAATAATAAATAAAATATTAGAAAAATAAAAAGAGGCTGGAGAGATGGCTCACTGTAGATCTGCATAATAATCATTAATGCCACTGCCACCTTTTCTACATTAGGCTGTCTTGAAATATCTTCAGCCAAAGAAAACAATCCATTGCTTTTCAACTTAGCCTCAGACAAGCTCTTGGACTGTGGGCAGACAGTAGCCAGACTCTTTGCTAAAATATCCCAGTTGCTGCGTGAGTCCTTATTTCCCTCTGGAACTACTTTGCTCCTAGCACTACTTTCTTCTAGGCTTCTACTAGAATGACTCATTAAGCCTTGCTTACAGCATTCTACCCCTTTTCTTTCTTTCTCTTTCCTTCTCTTTCCTTCCTTCCTTCCTTCCTTTCTTCATATTTTATTTATTATTTTTATTTTATGTGTATGTGTGTATTGCCTGCGTGTAGGTAAGTGCACCCATGTCTTGCGATGCCCGCAGAGGACAGAGAGGCTGTCGGATCCCCTGGAACTGGAGTTATGGACAGTCATTAGCTGCCATGTGGGTGCTGGGATTCGAACCTGGGTCTTCCACAAGAACAACCAGTGTTCTTAACTGTTGAGCCATCTCTCCAACCCAGCATTCTACCCTTTTCTACTCCAAACTTCCAAAGTCTTCCACATTCCTCCAAAAACCCACTTGATCAAGTTTGTCACAGCAACACCCTGCAATCCTGGTACCAATTTCTGTATTAGTTACTTTTCTATTGCTGTGATAAAACATCATGACCAAGGGAACTTATAAAAGAGTTTATTTAGCTTACGGTTCCCCCCACTGTGGTGGACTCTTGCTCCTTTGGAACCTTAAGCTAAATAAACTTCCTTTTATAAATTCCCTTGGTCATGGTGCTTTATCACAGCAACAGAAAAGTAACTAATACAGTATACATGTGCACTAAGTAAGTGCCTATGGAAGCTGTAAGAGGATGTCAGACCCCCTGGAACTAGAGTTCTGTACTGTTGTGAGCTGCCAGGTAGATGCTAGGAACTGAACCCAGGTCCTCTGTGAGAGCAGCCAGTGTTCATAACCAAACCACTGAGCCGTCTCTCCATCCCATCTTTCAAGATTTTATAACCAGTTCTTTTTCTTCTTCTGTACCCTGCTCTTTCCTGTGGGCAAGTAATATCTTCTAATATCCCAGCTATTCAAACTAGATTCCTCAGCACTGTGGTTTGGTTTTGAACCTATTTTTTTACTTTACAATAGTTTAAAATTTTTTTGTTACATTTTATTTAACTGTGCAGCTGTATGGATGTATGAGCCACAGCACTTTTGTGGTCAGAGTCAACTTCTGGGACTTTGCCTCCTTTTTCCATTGGGGTCCTGAGGCTCAACTACTCACTGTTAGCCAAGCAAACTATACGTATTTCTGTTATGTCATTTTCTAATGCAAACATCTTGTGATTTCCTCCTGGTATAGATGAGTATTTGTCATACACTATTTCTCCAATTTAGTTAGTTGTGGCTTACTTTTTCATCTGATAACATTTTGTTTATGGATTTATTATAGCAAATGCTTTAAGACATATTTTTTTCAAATTTATTATTATTATTATGTATTTTTATTTTATGTGTATGCGTGTATTGCCTGAATGTAGGTAAGTGCACCCATGTTGTGCAGTGCCTGCAGGCGTCAGAAGAGGCTGTTGGATCCCATGCCTGGAGTTAGGGACAGTTGTTAGCTGCCATGTGGGTGCTGGGATTTGAACCTGCAAGAATAATCAGTGTTCTTAACCGCTGAGCCATCTCTCTAGCCCACAAGACATACTTCTTTTTGTTGTTGTTGTTTGTTTGTTTGTTTGTTTGAGACAGGGTCTCCCTGTAGCCCCAGCTGGCCTGGAACTCACTATGTAGACCCGTGCTGGCCGACCCGTGCTGGCCTTGAACTCACAGAGATCCTCCTGCCTCTGCCTCCTGAGTGTTAGGACTAACGGCGTGCGCCAGCACACCCAGCAAGACATACTTTTTTTTGATCTTTTTGAGACAGGGTCTCTCTGTAGCCCCCAGCTGTCCTGGAGTCATTATGTAGACCAGGCTGGCCTTGAACTCAGAGATCCGCCTGTCTCTGCCTGGGACTAAAGGCGTGCGCCACCACACCTGGCAAGACATACTTCTTATGAAACTATTTCTCTCTGAGTCCTCAGCTACTCAGTATACTCCCCTGAACCTCAAACCTTGTCTCCTCTGTCACACCTGAACTTGGCATAGTACCTCGCTCATGACGAAAACTTGGGGTTTTTTTTGGTCTTTTTGAGACAGAGTCTTCCTGTAGCTGCAGCTGGCCTGGATTTGCTATGGAGACCAGGCTGGCCTCGAACTCACAGAGATCCGCCTGCCTCTGCCTCCCAAATGCTGGGACTAAAGGTGTATGCCACCACACTTGGCTGAAAACTTGGTTTTTAAAACAATATTTCCATTCAATATTTTTCATTGCCAAACAACTAAAATTACTATTGTAGAGGCAACAACTTGTTTTTGTTTTGTTTTGTTTTTTTGGTGATGGTGGTGGTACAGGGGTTGAACCCAGAGCCTCACGCATGCTAGGTGGCACTGCACCACTAAACTATATTCAGTTATCTTGGTTTGAGGCTAAGGTGATGAACTCTTTGCTCTGCAGATTAAAACTCAACAAGCAACTGCTCAGTACTCACCAGCATCTCCTGTCATACTGAACAAAGTACTCTACATGGGATGAACTCTTTTAACATTAATGTTGTCATTGTGGTCCATGCAGACTTGGAATAATTTATATTCACTTCTCTTTCTATAGGCAATGGCAGCAGATAAAAGCGATGAGTGGTTTGCTACAAGAAATAAACCAAAGGCTTCAGGTTGATGGAAAATATATGAATAATCACTTGTGATTCCTGTCCAACATCTGTGAGGCCTGATGTGTCTGTTTACAATAAATGCTCCTACAACTTGTTGTGTCCTGCATAGGCAAGGACAACGATGTGGTAAAGATTTGTGTCTTTTAATCTTTAAAACTCTGATATATTTTTGAAATGAAAGCCAATTTTCATTACCCTTGGTAGAAGAGAACTCTTACTGTGTGTAACTGTATTAGATTAGTAACAAATCATTGTCCAGACTGAGACTAACTCTGGAATACCCTAGATTAGAGATAGAGGAAAATTTGATGAGAAGTGAATAAATTTTATTGAAACAGTTGTTCAAATAAATCCAAACCAGTTGCTTAGCGTGGTCATATTCCCAGTAATTGATAACATTGTTCTGATATCTTACCATGGAAGATTGTGACATTTAAATTTTCTTTTTTCTTTTCAGACAGGGTCTCCCTGTAGCCCCAGCCTGCCTGGAACTCACTATGTAGACCAGGGCAGTCTGATATCTGTCTACCTCTGCCTCCCAAGTGCTAGCATTAAAAGTGTCTACCATTATACCTGGCATCCTTTTTGTTTTTGAGACAGGGTCTCCCTATGTAGCCTAGGCTAGCCTGTCACTTGCCATGTAACTCAAGCTAACTTTGAACTTGTGATTCTTCTGCTTCAGCCTCAAGCACTGGAATTACAGATAAATTCCACTATTCTGGGCTTGACATTCAGGTTGTTGGGCTTTTTAAAAGAATTTTTTTTTTTTTTTTTTGGTCTTTTTGAGACAGGGAACTCACTGTGTAGACCAGGCCTGCCTCTGCCTCCCAGGTGCTGGGACTACAGGCATGCGCCATCACGCCCGGCTTCTGTACATGTTTTTAATCTGCTCAAGAAAGAATATAATGTTAAAGATCTTTTTTTTTTTGGTCTTTTTGAGACAGGGTCTCCCTGTAGCCCCAGCTGTCCTGGAACTCACTATGTAGACCAGGCTGGCCTTGAACTCACAGAGATCTGCCTGCCTCTGCCTCCTGAGTGCTGGGATTAAAGGCGTGCGCCACCACGCCCAGAGCTGTTAAAGATCTTTAAAAAGAATTAAGTGATTTCTTCTGCCTGAAAAATATGTTTTCTGTTTGGATCTATGCAAGAAGTTGGTTTTAGGGAATCACTGAAAACAAAATCATATTGGGTGTTTTTGTTATTAAAGCTTTTTGGAAAGTATGCTTCTGAAATCAAGTCTTTTAATCTCATTTAAAGAGTGGCAAAGTTCAAATTTTAGAGATAAACTCAGAAAGAAAAGGACTCAGAGGATATAAATTTTAAGATTACACTCAGAGTTTTTGGTAAACTATAGCCTTGCTCATCCCTTACATGGGGGCAGGGTGTGGAGCACAGACATCTCTGGGTGAGTTTCCATTTACCGTCTTATAAAGGTGATCTTATAAAAACAATTCTTGTCTAGCTCCACAGCACTAGGTCCCTTCTGTGTAACTGGGCAGCTTTTTTTTTGCTTGTTTTCTGTAAAAAAAAAAATTCTGTATCTTTCTTTACATTTTCTTCTATTTTTTTTGTGTGTTTATGCATGCATATTGGGGGTGGTGTATTACTAAGCGTGCATGTAGGTCAGAAGACAACTTGCAGAAATCGGTTCTTTTTTTCCACTATGTGGGTCCTAGGAATTGAACTCAAGTGACTTTATCTGCTAAGCCCTCCTTCCAGTCCTTATTTTCTTTTCATATGTATGTTTGCATATGTGTGTGCATATGTATGTGGAGGCCTGAGGTTGATGTGCAGCAGGCAGCTTTACCCCTAAGTCATCTCATTGGCTCTAAATGCTGTATCTCATTAACTATGATTTGTCAGATTTTCTATATGTGTATGAGTGTTTTATCTGCATGTATATATGTGCATGTGTGAACAGTGCAGGCAGGGGCCAGAAGAGGGCATTGGATTCCCCTGGAACTGGAGTTACAGATGGCTGTAAACCACTGTGTGGGTGCTGGGAACTGAACTTCAGGTCCTCTGCAGGTTAATGGCTCTGCCATTAACTCCTGAGCCTTCTTTCCAGCTCCAGTTTATTAAGAAATTCTTGATGTTTATTTCTAGTAATACTGTTTTGCTGAAATGAAACTATTTCTAGCATATTAGGCTGTTATAACTCTTAAACAGTGAGCCATCTCTCCAGAACCCCTTTCATTTTCTTTTAAACATACAATTATATGTGATAAAAGGCACCATGACAGAAATTAATGGTTTTTTTTTTGTTTGTTTGTTTGGTCTTGAGACAGGGGTCTTCCTGTAGCCCCAACTGGAACTCACTATGTAGACCAGGCTAACCTCAAACTTACAGAGATCTGCCTGCCTCTGTCTCCCAAGTGCTGGGACTAAAGGCATCACCACCATGCTGGGCAGAAATTAATATTTATTTTACTTGAGACATTTTGGGTTTGAGAGATGAGTTCCCATTTGTTTCACTGCTTGTCTTTTTGTGGTTTGTTTTTTGAGACAATTCTGTCTCATATCCTAGGTTTCCCTCAAATTCACTGTGTAGTAGAGATAGCATTGAACTTCTGATATTCCTATCTCTATCTCCCAAGTGCTGGGGTTTCAGGTATGTGCTACTAAACTCAGTTTATGGTGCTAGAGATTAAACCTAGGGCTTTGTACAAGCTAGGCAAGCATTCCAACTGAGTTATATCCCATCCCTAAAAATTTGTTTTCTTGAGGCAGTCTCCTATAGCTGAGATCAACCTTGAACTCTTGATCCTCCTGCCTCTGCCTGCTGATTTCTGTGTTTACAGAAGTGTGCCTCCATACCCAGCTCTTTGTTGTGGTCTTTAATATGTTAATCTAAACTATTAAGGGTACAACTTTGGTATTTTATATTGAAAAAATTTGCATTTGCAAAGTTCAATACTACCCCCCCCCCCGCTTTTTCTTTTGGCATTGTTGGCCATCAAATCTAGGACTTCACCCATGCTAGGCAAGTACTGTCCTGCTGAGCTACAACTCCAGCCCTCCAGCTAGTCATTCAAAACCAAAAAGTTATGATTCTTTTTCTACTTTCAAAAATGGTAACACAATTAGAAAATCAGGGGCTGGAGAGTTGGCTCAGTGGTTAAGAGCACTGGCTATTCTTGCAGAGGACCCAGGTTCAGTTCCTAGCACCCACCTGGAGGCTGCACCCACCTGGAGGCTAACAACCGTCTACAACTCCAGTTCCAGGGGATCTGATGCCCTCTTCTGACCTCTGAGGACATTGCACAACAGGTGCACTTACATCCAGGAAATATAGTCATACATGTAAAGTAAAAATATTTTTAAAAAACAGAAAATCACACCAGACATGGTAGCACATGCCTTTAGTCCTGGCACTTGGGAGGCAGAGGGAGGTGGGTCTCTGTAAGATTGAGGCCAGCCTGGTCTACATAGTGAGTTCCAGGCCAGCTGGGGCTACAGAGAGACCCTGTCTCAAAAAGACCAAA